TGGTCGGCGAGGTAAGCCAAAGGTGGTGCATGCCAACAGGCTTTGGCATTATCATAGTCCAGGACATTTCAGTTGGAACTTGTACTTTTGTACAATATTTTACTTTTCTGAGTACTTTTTCTAAGATCTGTATGAAACGCAACACGGATATTAAATTATTCAATTAATATGAGCAATCGGCAACAAACTTCAATAAAGTTATTTCAAAAATAACAATGAAATAGAATAGAGTAAGTAAAGTTTAACTGTAATTACCTACACCTTAGTACAGTCAACTAACTATCCTGATGTTCCCATAGCCACTACTTGTGATTAATCACTTTCCTGTGTAATACTAATTAGGTCTAAACAATCGTTACTAAATGAAAATGGCCAGGTGGTTAGAGTGCTCGACTCGCAATCTGAGGGTCGTGGGTTCGAATCTCCGTCACGCCAAACATGGTCGCCCTTTCAGCCGTGGGGGCGTTACAATGTGACAATCAATCCCACTAGTCGTTGGTAAAAGAGTAGCCCAAGAGTTGGCGGTGATGACTAGCTGCCTTCCCTCTAATCTTACACTGCTAAATTAGGGATGTCTATCGCAGATAGCCCGCGTGTAGCTTTGCGGGAAATCCATAACCAACAAACAAACTGTATAGAAAAAAAAAAAAAAAGAGAGAAAGATGAAATTGTTTCGCAAATAGTTCGACGTCGTTTTAAGTGCGAGTGATTGGTCCGAACCCACTGTGTATGCTGCACTTTGCCAATTAATTCTATTGTCTAATATCATTTTTAACTTTTTGTGTTGATATTGCTGTTTGTTAGATGTTGCTTAGGCTTGTAACATCAATTAGATAATTTATTTATTTCTTGCGGCATTAAACCTTTAAAATTGATTCTGTTAATTAAAATTCGTGCGCATAGGGAAACATATACAGTTTTCTTAATTTTATAAGCAATAAATAAAAGTTGTTGTATGTTTGCCATCACATCATCATTGATTCACTACTCTTTAACCTACAACAACAGGCATAATCGCTAATGAAGTGCAACTTTCGTGCTTGTTTTATAAACCTTTTCGCGGGAGTAGCTTACGTCAAAAGGCTGTTTCTTTTGTTAAACATTTACCCCTGAAAGGGTTCGTCGTTATACCTAAAAATAATATATTTGGCATGTTACATCAATTACATAATATTAATAAAAATTATCTTAGGAACTAAATATTTTTTATTTATACCACATACTAGAAATTGTAATGTAAATTATCTTAAAAAAGTAGGGGATGATAGCAAACAACAGAATGCGTTACCGCCTCTGTGCAAACCTGATGGTTCGTACATTTAGTGGCTGTTTGGTGTATTCGTGCACACGCTACATTTGGCTTGGAAATTGAATTTTTTTTTCTATGGAGTTTCTTTCGTCTGGAGATTTATGGAGTCAAGAAACATTCAGCTAACTTGTCTGCTTTTACTGATAATCTTCAATACTTTCTTGAAGGGTAAGTCCACATAGTTTTTTACTGTGTGACCACGTTGAGCGCTGGGCTCCCACAAACCGACTGTACAGTGTTTATATATATATACGCACACATACTTGTAAACTACTTTTGCTCTTTGGGGGTATTGATGATGGCTGTTCGTATTTAGGGAGACAACAGGATCGAGCGGTTTCTCGACCGCGTTGGTACCGATACATTTAAAAGACTGGTTTGTGTAACCTTCTATCGTTTGTATTTGTGCTATCATTTTTTTTAATGTTACCTTACAATAAAACGTAGTTGATGATAATTTGGGATAAAGTGATTACTGTATAATACTGCCTTATTTCGTGTGACACGTTGCACTACGTTACTTTTTTTTATGTAGTGTATATGTGATAGCAGTTTTTAAAACTAAACGTGAAAGTGTGAAATAATACAAAAGAATACTAGGACCATAACGACTGCGTTCTTTGTAGTTTTTTATTCAGTTATAGCTACGAGGACCATATTTTCAAATCGTAAGAATGGGATACCAGTTTTATTTGAGAAAATGATAAGCAATCAATTATGCAAATAATAAATATCATCAAGTAAAAAGGATATGTTGATTTATTTGTTCTTACTTGATATCTTTCTGAGTAAAGATTTTGGGAATCTTGTTGGTCAAGATTTATAGTCATTCACATTCACTTTTGAATTGCTTTAGATAAATCAAATTTTTGCTGTGAACATAATCTGCTGTTTGCATTTGACTGTCTTTCTTTATTTTGCGATGTGCAAAACCACTGAGCTCATGATTTTACACATATCAAAGCATTTAGAGCAGTGGTTCCCAACCTGTGGTCTGCCTAGGTAATATCGTCTCATTAAACAAGTAAGTTTTTAATACTGATGTTTTTTTTTAATTGCACACTCGCTTATATATGCCATTTATTTAACAGTGAAAAGTGTGAAAACGAGTTAATTATTAATTAATAAAAACAGTTTGTTGGGTAGGCAGAATCTTTCAAAAACATGGGTTCCTTGGGGGGGAAAAAAGTGATAATAAAAGGGGTCCCTGGTGGAGAAAAGGTTGGGAACCACTGAGTTAGACTGTTGAATGCATTAGTGTGCTACAGACTGCCTTATAGCCAACTTCAGAAGCAGCAGCAAAAGGCTGTGCAGAGTAATTCCAATCTGTGTGATAATTTTCCTACTTTGTAAAAAAAATTGAAACTGTTGATTTACAGTTTTGAGAGGTCCAGATTATTAAATATAGGTATAGAAACATACAGATTGTTGACAAAATTAAAACTGGAACTCTCAGGCATCACATAAAAGATGTGTTGGGACACTGAGACTGTACCAGCTAAACTTGAATGTGGTCACCCTTGTCATAGCTGCTCAATGGAAAGTAATGTTTGAAAATTATACAATAAGCTTATTTAATTAATAATGTATGGTGTAATATTGAAGATTATAAATATAAATATGTAGAATTTAATTCTAGTATATATAACTAAAATAAAAATTTAATGAAAAGTATACTTGAGGCTGCTTTTTCATGCTGGATGAAAAATGTGAATTTTTTGTTCCAATTAAAACATAAATTCTGGTAATTGTTCTTGTGTTTTTAATATAGCAATAAACTTTATATAGATAGGTAATTCTCTCATCTTTTTTTTTTTGATTGAAGACACCTCCTATTGATCTAGTTATCTTTGAAAAAGCATGTTGCTTAAAATATTAATTAGTTAAAAGCTTATGAAAAGTATATAAAAGTTAAGAAGTGGTTAGAAAATTTAATTCAAGTTAAAAATCAAAAGAAAATTTCTTTATTTGGTAGAATGTGGAGTAGAATCCTATTTTGAAACCTTTATGTTGAATTAATTATATTATTAATTTGGACAGCTTCTTGGACAAAAATATTTCTAAATATGCTGATGATACCAAGATGTTTAGAAGGGCTGACACTGTTGATTTATTCAGAAAGCTTTGGATAACTATAATGAAAAATGAGATGCTGTTGGGCTATGGAGATTTCATATGAAATACAAAATTGTTGTAACATCTTCTTTTGTTTGTGGGTTCTTTTAAATTCCAAGTCCAGTCCATGTAAATGATAACAAATTAGGGTATTTCTTCCTTAACATTTTTACAAACTGCCTTCGTTGTGTATAGTTGAAGGCCACATATACGAATTAAATTAACTGCACTACACTAATGTAAAGAATAAAGTTACTTGTACCACTTCACAACTGAAACAAACAAAAAACACAATGTCTTATTTGCTATATCAGCTAGAAATGACTACTGTGTTTAAACAAGTCTACAATCTTATATTTATAATTTACCCTTGAATTTACTAGAAGTCAAATCTTTTTAGAACATCTAGGTATTCTAGTCCTATCTTATTAACCTTTTGATCTTAACATCATAATTATGACCTGCAGCTCCTTCCAGTATACAGGAAACTTGTGACATTAAAATGTAGCTTATGAAAGTATTTTTTGTAACAGGAGAAAGTTGTAGAAATGGAGAATACACCAACTAAGTCATTAACTGTGTTCCTTGGATCTGTTTATTGAAATTCTAAAGTAAGAGTAATAAGGTTATCTGCATTTTAATATTATTTAAATTTTTAGTGATGCTTCATATTAAAATTGCTATATGCAGTTTTTATACTTGTAGAACAAAGTGCATAGAAAGATAATTGCTTTAAAAACTGATAAAATCATGAATGTTTTTTTCCCGACATACTGAAAAACAGGTGTAATTTAATTGAAGAGGTTCATATAATCTAAATGTAGATAGTTTGATTGACTTAATGGAAAGTTTAGAAATAAGAATTTGAATGTTAATGATATTAAGTTTACGTTTTGGAATCTTTGATCCAGATTTATTCTGTGCAAAATTATTTATACCTTAGTTATGAATGTATGAAAGCTTTGACCCCCTAATATGGTATTCTTTGTTTGAATTATATTAATCTTTTTGTTATACATGTCTGTGGATGTAAATGGATTCATTTGGTTAATTTGATCATTTTAGTGTTGGGTAGATGTCTTGATAGGTTGAACACCTTTTACCCAAATTGCTTATTCTTTTGTTAATTCAGTTTCAAAAAATGTTACAGAATGGAAATAGTATTTTTGCAGAATAAGTGTGTGTGTGTATTTTAACTGTAAATACTTGTACCTTAATATACTCAACTACAAGTGGTGTTCTCATATATCTGTGCATTTGTGTATTTTAACTGAAATTATTTGTACCTTAATAAACTCAACAACAAGTGGTGTTTTCATATATCTGTGCATTTGTGTATTTTAACTGAAATTATTTGTACCTTAATATACTCAACTACAGGTGATGTTCTCATATATATATGTGTGTGTGTGTGTTCAGCTGTTTACTTTCTACCACTTTTCCCACATCTATAGCTTTCTCTGGCTAAAAATTGTAAACTAATACTTTGTAGAGAACTTCCAGCAGACTTTTAAAGTGGAACAAAAATCATTCATAGTTCTTTGTTTTAGTGGATAAATTAAAACGTTTTAAATTGTAATCATAGTTTTAGTTTTTTATGTTGTGAAATGTTTGAATAAGTAACTTTTCCATATCTCTTTTGTGTAATGAAGATTCTAAAACTGATAACTGTACAAATGACATAAGAGTTTTAAGCAAAGAGAAGGTACATTTTTATTTGTAATTTAAAACATGTTTGAACAATTAATAGAAAAAAAGCTTTTCCTACAGTCACACAATCAGTGGAATACATAAAATTTTTGTTACTGTACATCTAATCATTATTTTGAGGTAGAATGAATATGGTTTTGTTTGAAGGAATGTGATTCTAAACACCTGTACCTTAAAGAAACATGCTGACGAGTGAAATTAGAGTAGGTGATATTTTGTTGATGGACAGAGATGGACCATTTTATGTGAAGTAGAATATTTGTTGGGTAATTGTTTGGATGTGAAAAGCTGCATTTAGCTTGTGATGGTGGTCTTAGTGGTTATTCAAAAATTATTGGTGACTTGGATGAACTGAATGACATTTTATGAGCCAAACAGTTCCCTTGCCCTCTATTCAGAAGTCCAAAATTAATGACAGTGGCAGATAGTCTGAGCAGTTTTTGCATAACAAAGAATAGGAAACAAGCTCAGTGACATTGAGAATCGAACTGAGACCCTCAAATCATGAGCACCCCACCTCCGAATCACCAAGGCTGAACGAACTTGAAGTAAAAAAAATAAAAATTAGAAAGCTGGAATTGGGCAGAGCACAGGTAGCCCATGATGTAGCTTTGGAAATTTGGAATAACTGAATATAGTAATAATTAAAAACTCTAATTTTGATTAGTTAATTAATTTCATCACAGTCAATTCATAATATGGATTAATTGGCTGTTGGAATAATCAAAAATAATAAGAATTGGAAACCCTAATTTCATTTAGTTGATTATTTTGGGGAAAATCAGTGTGTTTGTAATTTTGATCATTCAGTTAGTTTATGTGATATTAATTGATGTAATCACTGCTATAGGTAACTGATGAAATCACCCACTTTGATATATGACTGCCATTAGTCTTAGCATATACATGTGTATGTGATGGAGGATCATCATATAAATGAATTTTATTAAGAAATATTTTTTAAACCATACATTCTATGAAATAACAAGGACAATCAAGGCGATATAAAGCTATTCAGCCTCTCAAGGTCATCCACTCCTCAGAATAATCAGACACAACCTTTAAGAATGAAGAGTGGTAAAATTTATAAAGAAGTGAATACTTATATTCATATGAGTTGTTTCACTTTAACCAAGACTTTAAACAGCTAACAATACAACCACAATTATAAGTTTTTTTCATTGCATGTTTTTTCTGGTCATTTTAAACATACAAATGTGTTGTAATATAGAAAATTCTTCACATTAAGGTTTGTCGACCAGAAATTATTATTTCTTATTTAGGCTGACAAGAAAATGTTATTTGTTTTAAGATAGATCAAGAAGAGAAGGAATTTACTACTT